TTGAGGCCCTTGGGTATACTTTTAATTTAGGGAAAAAAAAGAAAAAAATTATTATAGCCTTTCTTAATAATCTCCAAAGTAGCTAGATAAATTTGCCTTTTCTCCTCTAATATTTTCATGTAAATCAATCTCCTTGCCTCCTCCACCCTCGTTTATTGTTTTCATTTCTCTTCTGTGAAAATTTTCAATTTGTCCTTGTTGTCCTAGCAAATAAATATCAAATACAGACTTTAACAGTCCCTGGCTGTGTCTATGCAGCCACAGGGATAAGAGGCTGAGGAGTTCTTCAGTGAATTTATGCAGGGTAAACAGAAGACAAGGTAAAGTGTCGTGTAGGGGTAGGACCTGCCCACCCTGGGTCCTCTGCCTGGCACCCGGGTCACAGGAGTTGCTGTGGCAGGAAATGATTGATTTTGTTGGCAACCTCAAAGACCAAGGATGTAACCTCAAACATCCCATCTTCTTTTAATAACCCATTAGAAATCTGTCATCCATGACTTTGTTTAAATCCTTCTGAAGCTATTTTTACTCTAAGTGAACAGGACCTTCTTGTGTAATGAATTCAATGATCTTACAATCTGCCACCAGGCCCCTGCCACCTGGTTGAGTGAGAGTGACTGACTGGCTTCACCATCCAGACCAACACCCCAGTGTCTTGACCTGCCTCACTTCTACCTGGGCATTTTTGGCAGAACTAGAGTCACCAGGGAATGACTGTAACCTTTTGATTCATGTACCTCGTACATCTGGTCTCCAATTCTCTGTCATCCTTGGCTGTTTGGTTGTGAACACTTTTATTATGTACAAGATAACTTTAGGAATATATTTTTCTTGGAGAATCCAGGTAAACAAAATCTAGATAGATCCAAGAGGTTTTGTATTTGTTTGTTTTGTTTCTTTTTTAAGATTTAAATTTATTATGATGTGCAGTGAGGGGCTATGCTACCTCAAATGTACAAAAACCTAGGAACTCCTCCCTCCTGCTAATAATTCTAGGGCTCTATACATGAGAGCTTTCACATCCAAAGCCTTAGTAACCAAGGCTTCTTTGAAATCTAGTCTTTAATCACCTTACCGGCCTCTTTCCCTGTCCCTGGAAACTGCATTCTCATTCTACAGTGAGCTACTTATTTGCCATTCCTAGAAAATCAAGCTGAGGTCTCTGTGCCCTTGTACACGCTGTTCCCGTTGCTTACAATTACCTTTGTTAACTGTCCAACTGAACAGTTCAAAATCCAACTTCTGCATGAAGCCCCACTCCAGATGCTTTGATCTCACATAAATCATCCCTTAAACTTTAATCTCACAAACTTTTGCTCAGCTAGGCCTTTAAGTTCATTGCAATTACTTGTTATGCTTCCAACTATTTATGTAGATGATCAGTTCTTCAAGAGAGCCAGGACATCTTCTAGAAAGAACAACCTCACATACCTGAGACCACAGTAGGTAATGGGGTGAATATCTGACAGAAATATAAATGTGTGGGAGAATAAATGACAAAGTGGTAAGAGATTTCTATAAAAAAAACTCAGCTCACTCTCATGTACACCTGTGTACACACATACACACCATGCAATCGTGCAGAAACCACATGTGCACACACACCACACTCACAACACACACACAAGACCGGGGAACTGGAGGGAGGTGGAGGCGGGATAAATTTGCAGGTGTAACTCCTCTGCCACAACAAATCATCCATTTGCACCTTTTTGCATTAATGTCCTTGATCAATTTTCCTCCTCGTCTGAAAGTCATGAATGCTTATTGCTACTTTTCTCCTGGTACATTAACCTTGCTTTGCCATGAAGGAATTTGTTTTAAGTACTGCTGGCCTAGGGTTTGGTTGTTCTACTTCAAAAGGATGTGCAGCTATTTTAATGTATGCAGTGCAAGGATGTGAAGTGACAAACATAAATCTCCACACGTGGGCTGCTTACCTCCACTTCGGGAACATTAAATAAAGTATTCAGAAAAATCAGGCCTACCATTGATTTTTCCATAATACCCCAGTACGTATCATTAGTTGGCAATCTGTCAGACAGTTTTCAATTCGAGTGACGGTCTTCACAGTCAAACCAATTCCGATTAATTTTGTGAGAATCATTTAAAGAAACATGACATCAGATCCTTGATTTAAAGCAAGATGTATGGCATCTTCCACTTTTCACTTATCTTGTCATTTTAGGAGGAGAAATGCAGTCATTTGTCTGGCGCTTTTTTGTATTGTATACATATAAACACGCTGCTTATCACTCCTGGTTCCATTATCCTCAAGATAGTCACTTTTTTTTTCTCCCCCTAACAGTTGCTCTGTTATTTTATTAGTGTCCAAAATGAGACCTCATAGACAGTGATGATCATAGAATAATGGAAATTAGAGATGGAAATGACAGATTGGGTCTCTTTGTCTATTTCCTGGGGCTAATGTTCCTGTCGGTCTGTAAACTCAGTGCTTTAGCCTGTCTTGTTTTAAATGACACCAAGGCTGGAGCTTCCACCATTTCCCTTGAGGCCCATGTCTACATCCTAAGACTGTCTCTACATCCAGCCAGAGGGAATGATGAAGGGTTATGAAATTACCAAGCAAAGTCAGGCCTATCTTTGCATGATCTGTCTACAAGGCTAGGGATGTGGAGGCTTGAGCAATTAGCCACCAAATCCAATCACTGCAGAGAGCCAGCCTGGATCATTCAGGGCAAAATGGAAATGATGTTTTGTTGCTGTTTTCTTTGGCAGCCTGTTTATAGACCAAGAGCTGAGGGGTGCTTATCCATTATCCTTTACACCATTTTACTCAGTAGGAATCCTAGTCAACTGAGATTCTCACTATCCTATGAGCTCCCCCATAACCTGAGGGTGAGGGCACTTGGGAGAATTAAATAGCCAAAGGCATTCGATAACAGACCACCGCATATATGTTTACCCTTCTACAAATCCCTTCCTCTACATTTTGTGGCTTGCCTCTCTGATAGAGATCTCAAATTCAGTCCAAACTGAGCAATCTTTCATTTCCCTCCACAGAAAAAAATTTCATGGCATTTTGACTTCCTCAAGTTTTCTGACCTGTGACTCAGATTTCCTTTTCCTAACTTCATTCTCTCTTGTCCTTATCCCTCAACTTCAACCCGTTCCAGAACATTTGCCCTCTTCCAGCATCTACGGGCATCTATCATTCCTTGACTTAGTCATCAGCTGGCTAAGTTCTCAGAGTTGAGTTCTTCTATTCCTTTATCATAAATCACTCCCTTAGGCTCTTCAATCATTTTTATTGCTCTTCTCCAAACTCTCACCCATTTGTCACCATATTTATTGCTTTGAGACTCTGGAATTACATTCACTATTCTAGGTTTGGACTCATCAGCATCACATAGAAGAGGCTGATCACTGACCGCAGGGATGTGAGCCCTCTACAGAAATGTCTGAAATGACATTGGTTTCTTTTTCCCCACCTGTCAGGCTGCAAACACATATCTAATTTGCAGTCCAAGGCATTATGCTAAGATGTCTTTTGCCTTGATTTCTTTCTAATTTTCCCTGTAGCAGCACTTGTTAGTGTTAGTTAGCATTTATTTATCCCTTTCACCTCTCACCCTCCTTCACGACCTACCCAGTGAGGAAAATAAGCTCTTGGCTTCCAAAAAGACAAGAGAAAGTTGATTTTAAAAAACAATGGAAGGGCCAGGCATGGTGGTTCAAACTTATAATCCTAGCACTTTGGGAGGCTGAGGCAGAAGGATGGCTTGAGACCAGGAGTTTGAGATTAGCCTAAGCAATGGCATGAGACCCCACCTTTAAAAAAAATACAAAAATAGGGCCAGGTGCAGTGGCTGACTCCTATAATCCTAACATTCTGGAGGCCAAGGAGAATGGATATCTTGAGCTCAGAAGTTTGAGACCAGCCTGAGCAAGAGCATGACCTCGCCTCTAAAAATAGCTGGGCATTGTGGAGGGCACCTGTAGCCCCAGCTACTGGAGAAGCTGAGGCAAGAGGATTGCTTAAGCCCAAGAGACTGAGTTTGTTGTGGGCTATGATGCCAGGGCACTCCATCCAGAGTGACAAAGTAAGACATTGTCTGAAAAAAAAAAAAGAAAAGAAAAATAGAAAAATTAGTCAGGTGTGGTGGTGCATGCCTGTAGAATCAGCCACTGGGGCATCTGAGGCAGAAGGAGCTTGAGCCCAGGGAAATGAAGGGGCAGTAAGCTATGATGATGCCACTGTACTCCTGCCTGGGTGACAGAGCAAGTCTGCCTCAAAAATAACAAAAAAAAAAAAAGCAGCGAAGGTGGATAATGGTGGTGGCTGCACAACAATGTGAGCGCACTAATGCCACTGAATTACACAGTTATAAAAATGGTAAAAATGGTCCATTTTATGTTATATATTTTTATCCCAATAAAAACATCCTAAAATGTAAAAAGTAAAACAGGAATAGATAAAGTGACTACTTTACCCAGTCATGCATGCCTGGCGGAAAGCAAAAGTCTTACAGGGAAATGGTAATTGGAGATCAGGCAAAAATACTCTGTTCCTTAGCAGGGAGCCCTCCTTTAGTCTTTGCATGTCACCCCTGCTGACAGTCCTGGTGAAAACAAGTTTCTGCTCCTGTCACTCTCGCAAAGCTCGTCAGGCTCTGGGAGACCTGCACTACAGTCTGAGTGTGTGTCTCCAACAAAATCATCAGCTAAATTCTGCCTGTGGAATCCTCGTGGCTGGCAGTGGTGTGAAGAGAGAGAGAGGGACAGCTTGATTTTCAGAGCCCAGCTGGAGGCTGCGGGGCTGCGAGTCAGAGGCATCATCTCTTGACTCGTAAATGGAGAAAACGATGATACGGACGTCACTGGAAGGGTATAAATATGGAAAGACACTGTGACATTTTTACCCATTGACTGTTCAGAATAAGCCACCCTTCAGTTCTCTCCATGCGGTTGCTCCCCATCACATCTGTGTGGGGAGCGGTGACATGTAGGAACCGGCTTGCTCGCCATCCCTCACTTACCCCTGGTTGGTCCCCCATTCATTCCGAATGCAAAGGTGCTTGTGTACAGGATCCTTCATGTAACCTTCATAGCAGAGGCACTCCCCTTAGAAGCAGGGTAAGGAGGAAGAAAGAGAAACATGAATGAATTGATTAACGCATCTGCATTTGAGAAGAGTCATATCTTTAGAAAGCACCTATTTATACGTCCTCTATGAGCACAAAGACCAACAGTTCTTTGAAGGAAGTGATTTTTTCATCTTTATTTTCTCAATGCCCAGTGTACTGCCAGGCACCAACTAGGTGATCAATAATGTTTACAGACTGCATAAGTGACTTATTTTGTCAAATACTTCTAAGAATCTTGAAAAGTAGGTATTATGAGCTCTGTTATTCTTAGGAGGAAAGCTGAGGCTTGGAAAAAATGAAGGACTTGTTGAAAGCTTCTAAGTGGCAGAGTTAATATCTGAAGCTATGTCTGTCTGTTTTATCCATGCTGCTGGCCCACAGAATAGCTACTATATTTAGAGGAAGCCACTTACACCTATTACGGTTTTAGAGGAACTCTGGATTTTAGTGTTTAAGTGAAAATGGCTCATTATTAATATCTTTGAGCTGATAAACAAGAGGACCTCTACACTCCTATATTTGTTTTAGGGTATTTCTCGGCTTCATTATCATTGGTTACTTCATTAGTATGCCACGAACCCTCTGCAATTGTAGGCAAAACCGTATACATGTGTATATGCATTTTTCTGAAGCAAGGTTCTATAAAATTCATCTAATTTACAAGCAAATCCAAGATCCCCCAAGGGATGAGGTTAAGACTCATTGGTCTAGTTAGTATTGATCTTGAAGAAGATTGTTGCTGCTTCCTTATGCAAAGCTGTTGAGTCCAGTTACACTAAAGCACTGTTTTTCACTCCTGTAATATCTGGTCATTTTATTCATAACCAGTGAAAGAACAGAATGTGACTTACTGAAATTTGTACGTAACAAAGGGGCCGTGCCTAAGGAGACAATGGGCATACCATTTCTTTCTCTTTCAAGGAAGAGAGGCTTAAAAAGGATATAAGTAGAATAATAGCTGTTTTCTCTTTCTGAAAATAAAACCCAATAAAAATGAAGTGAAGGGCCCTCAAAGGATAGGGTCTTGGCAAGGGATTAGTTTTAGCATCTTAGTTCAACCATTTATTTCGAGATCAACCTTTAAGCTACTGTCCATCAGAGCCTCACTTACCAGGTCACTCCCATTTTCATCCCCCAACCTGCTCGGCTCAATGTGCTGGAGAGGGGAGTGAAAATGAGTAACTTCCTAATTGGTAAAAAATCCATAGGGAGTATTAGAATAGTCTAGAATTACGGCTTCCATGCAGGCTGAATTCCCAGTGGCCTCAAATTTACTGACTTTGGTGGTACTTAGCTACATTGAGAAGTGGTTGGGAAACTCTGAGTCAAACCTAAGAAAACACCGCTTGGAATTAGGTGGCTGGTATGGCTGGGGGATGGAGGCTCTTTCTCTGATAAAATGAAAGGTAAAAAAAGGCAAGAACAGGGAAGGCAAGAAAAGGAAGGGCCGGGAGCCTGGCTTCACAGCTTCTCAGTTCCGGAGAAAGCATGGACACTAGATAATCAGTTACCCTCTATAGACAGGCCTTTGTTAAATAGTAAATAACAGAAAATAAATTAATTAGAAAGTCTGCCCTGCATGTTCAGATTATGTACCTTTACCCTAAATGTGCAACATCTAGGCCAGTGAATACATCAAGGGCTCAACTCTGCTTCGCCCTTAAAAGATATTGTCCTGATGGACAATTAGCCATGGGCAAATACTTAAAAAAAAAAAAAAACCCAGGCAGCAGTCTTAGGAGGTTGTCAAACCCATTGCTTGGACTCTTAGAATGGTTTTGGCTGGACGCCTTGTCTACAATTAAGGATTGACAAAAAGGAGTCCTCTTCCACATCTGACAGCCAGTTACCACAAAACATGCAAAAATCAATGCAGTCACAACTCAAAGAGTTCAAGCAGAGCCCTGGTTTCCTACCCAGGGCTGTAGCCTCCATTTGGGCAGCACATTCACCTCCTCACGTTGCCTTCGCAGCCCTTATCTCCTCATGAGGCTTCCCTCCTTCATTACCACGTGGGGACACACTGCCAACAACTGATAAAGCTTTTCTCCACAAAATGGCACATGCAGCCCCAAGTCCGAGAAGCAGAGAAAATTTTCAAACCTATCATGCTGGAGTTTGAGAATCTCTAAAAATGTACCCCTCAAAACATCCTCACTCCCGGAAACCAACAAACTTCCCTTGTCTGTAATTCCTCTACAAAACCGGTTTGGCCATCCCCACAGAAAGGAGTTCAGACTTGATGAGGAAAGTTGCTATGGTAACCAACTGCTAAATCTTGACTTTAAGAGGGGTTTCATGCAAGCACAGGCTCCGACTGTTAGCTGTGAATTTTAAAGACCCCACAAGGGTGTTGGATGCCCTCCTAAGCTAGAAGTGTTACAGTCTCCGCATCTGCTGCGACAGATGGTGGGGAACACATGAGGCGCCGACTCCGTGGTGGTGTATATGGGAATCCAACGGAGAGACGACGTGCCACGGCACAGAAGTGCCCAGCCAGGAGAGAGTGTGCCCTGCGGGAGGCACACAGGCAACCATACTGCCAGGGAGGACAGCCCCTGAGAGCCGGTTGGTGCAGGGTCTGGAGACAGCTACACTTGATTGGTCCTTGGTGCCCCAAAGGCATATGCCTGGAGGTACCTCATGTGTTGGTACCTTTGGTCACTCCCCATTCCACAGCCAAAGGGCTGAGACACACATCCTTCCCAAGGACTAAAGGAAGACCTTGAAGCTGGGCTTCAAGACACGCCTGGGCTCATTCCAATGTCCTTCATAAAGTAAATGCAGATTGGGGCCCAAAACCCTGAGTCAGCTCTAAATTTCAGGTATTGCTTGTCTTTTATTAAATGGAATTGGGTGTGCTCCTCTACAAAGGGCAGGCTTTGCAAGACATCTGGGCTCAGGTAGTATCTAATTGCCTAGTCTCTCTCCCCTTGGAGACATCAGGGAAAAAGTAGTCCCAGGGTCAAACGACCCTCTCACAACTATGGGAGGGAACACGAGACAGGTACTAGCAATGTATCCTTATGGGAGGAGAGGAGAGGAGCAATGTATCCTTATGGGAGGAGAGGAGAGGAAAGTCACTGAAGTGAGTCTGGAATGAGTGGGCAATCCACTGTCAAATCAGATTCCAAAAACCCAGGGAAGATGAGAGAGAGAGAGAGATTGATTTGCATTGAGGGCAAACTTTCTAACACCACCAAAGCCAGAGGCAGGCAAAGGGAAGGCAGGCTGGATGGAGGCTGACATGCAGGTCCGATGCCCCTCAGTGGGTTCACATGTGTCCATGTGGTTGGGTCTGGCCCATGGAAAAACCTGAGATAGAAGGGATTTCAGTCACCATCTTAGATGGAGATTAAAACTTAATTTAGCTTGAAAGCCTATGTTCCTTAGAGAATCATAAAAGCTACATATCAAGAAAAGGCCAAAAAGGGTCCGTGGCCAGGATTGATGAGCATTATGAAATGAAGCAGGTGTGTGAGGCTTCTGCAGCTGTCCATATGGCAGAACAAAGGGCAGGAACAGTGGAGAGAGAAGTCAAAGAAACTAGGCAGTCTGAGTTTCCCTCAAAAAATAAAAATATCACATAAACATACTACCACAAGGCTAGGCACGGTGGCTCATGCCTATAAACCCAGCACTCTGGGATACTGAGGCAGGTGGATTGCTTGAGCTCAGGAGTTTGAGATCAGCCTGAGCAAGAGTGAGACCCTGTCTCTAAAAAACAGCCAGGCCCCGTGGCGGGTGCCTATAGTCCCAGCTACTCAGGAGGCTGAGGCAAGAGGATTATTTGAGCCCAAGAGTTTGAGGTTGCTGTGAACTATGACACCATGACACTTTATCCAGGGCAACTAAGTGAACCATTGTCTCAAAAAAATAAATCAAAAAAACAAAAAAACAAAAACGTACAACCATAACAACATCCCTTAGAAAGTGCAAGAAAAGTACTTTCTGGCTGGACCCAGAGGGGGCGAAATCATATAGCCTTAATCTTTTGCTGCTGGCCCAACTTGACCAGAGATATACTGTGGGTTATAAACTCAAGAATCTGGGAAAGGGTGTCAGTGTACAGTGGGCAAAGGGCTTCATTCTTCCACTTAGAAGCAGAACAATTCTAAGCCTCCCAGCCTGGTTCCCTTCCTGGGGCGTGAGCAATGGAAGTTCCTTTCATACTCCTCAGAAGTGTGAGTTATTATTTTTTATTATGGGTTAACATGAGGGTACACAAGATTAGGTTATATTATTTGCATTTGTAAAGTCCAAAGTCTGAGTTGTTGTTGAGTTCTTCAACCAGGAGGTGTGCTATTTACCCAACATTGTACCGGAGAGGTGGGAACTAATGGATTCCTCTCCTCTCTCCCTCTCCCCCTTCTTGAATATGTGTTTTTCTCTTTGTGGGCCTATAGTTGTTGGTCAACTATTTTTAGATTAATAACAAGTACATGGGATGCACGCTTTGTCATTCTTGAGATACTTAGGAGAATGTTCTCCAAATCTTTCTAGGCAAATTCAAAAGATGCAAAGTCTCCATCTTTTTATGGCTGAATACTATTCCAAGGAGTATGAGTTTTGAGTTGGGCAGCCTGAGCATGAAATCTGGCTCAGCCATTAACTTGGCAAGTGACTTTGGGCAAATTTGTCAACATCTCTGTAAAATAGGTGTAGTGTGAAGTTCCCATTACAAAGCATAAGTAGAGCTCAGTGCTTGTCACATTACCAGCTCTCAATAAATATGACTCATCCTTATTTTTCTGAAAACCATGTTTTCAAACATCTCCCCCGGGAAGGGCACTGTGGAGCTGGAACCCAAGATGCTTTCTGAGGTTGTCAGTGGGGAGGCTAACCCACACGCATCTAGAGTCTCCCAACCAACAAGAGCTAAGAACACAGCTGGTCACAGGTCCAGACTGTTAGAAGAGGGTCATAGAATTCAGCGGAACATTGGAAATAGCAGATAAACCCTGGAGTTCAAGGCCACCATTTCTCAGGGACATCCAGATTCAAATCAGAAAGTCTGTGGACCCTTGATGACTAGAAGAGCATTTGTTAGCGCTATGTGACAGGCACTGGGCTCAGAGCTGCACTGGGCTCAGAGCTGCAGGTACACTACAGCCCTCCAGATACGTGTTGCTAGAATCCAGATGTAGAGGCGGCTGGGATGGAAAGCGGAGCAGCAGGCTCCCTCCAGCTCTATTCTTCCACAGATTCTGACACATCTTTAGAAGGTCTATAAATTGGGCCTGGAAATCGGAAAAGGAACTTAACGCTTGTTCTTCTCTCTTTGTCTTTTCTCTTCTTGCTGGGTGTGTTAGTTTTCTATTGCAACAGTAAAAAAAAAAAAAAAAAAAAAAAAACTACCCTAAACTTAGTGGTTTAAAGCAATTCATCTTCTAGCTCTGTAGGCCGGAAGTCTGACATGGGTTTCAATTGGGCTAAAATCCAGGGGTCTGTAGAGTTTTGTTGATCTGTTTCTTCCTTGCCTCTTCTGGCTTCACATTCCTGGGCTGGTGCCTCCCTCCTTATCCAAAGTCTGTAAAGGCTGGTCGAGTCCTTCTGACATCCCACTTCTCTGACCTCTTCTTCTCACTTTTAGGAACCCATGTGATTACATTGGGACCATCTAGGTAATCTTCCTGTTTCAAACCCAGTTGTTCAGCAACCTCTATTCCATACACAACATTAATTCTCCTTGGCCAGGTAACACAGCATACTCACAGGTTCTGGGGAACGTGGACATCTTTGAGAGGCCATTATTCTGTCTCCTTCACCCGGCATCCCAAGCATTGTGCGGGTAATTGGTAAATACATGCTTAGCTTTGGGAGGCTCTCAGGAAGGGTGTCTGAGGAGAGCTCCACCCACACCAGAGGCTGCTTCTTCGCAGGGACTGAGCATCTGTGTTTGTGTGTTGTTTGTGTGTTTATGCACTTGCACGGATGTGTGTGTGTAAAAATGTATACAAGTGCACTTGCACAGCTCCACGCATCCATATGGGCAGACCCCTCCGCATGGCTGGGAAAGCACATGTCCCAACACTATGACATTTCCAAGTAAGCGAGCTGGAGGATTGCAAAAATAATGTCGACTTGACTTGATGCCAATTCCCACACTCAGCTCTTTGAAAGAAAGGCTCTGGGATGGAGTGTGGGAGGCGATAAAGTTTCTTGCTGATGAGTGTGTGGGATGACCACATCATCCCATGTGCGGAAAGAAGCAGGGGGAGAGGGGGGCTTTCCAATTCCAGCGTTAATGAAAATAAAAGTTTTTGCAGTTTTGTTTCTCAGCTGCTGCCCAAAATGAAGATGTTGCACCTTAGTTTCATTGTGGGGTTTGGGTTCTTATTTTTAGACTTCTTCCATGGCTTTCCAATTGGAAATTCGTTAATTGTTGCAGCTACTGGGAAGCCATTAGCAGGGGAGAGGCTTTCCAGAGTCATTTTCAGCAAGGATTAGAAATGAGACATCTGGAAGGGACTGAAGATGGGAGAGCTTAGCTATAGACAAGCCGCTTCCGAGCGCAGGGAACCGGAGTGTTTAGTAATGGCTGTTGATTAAATAGTCTTGAATGACAACTCCGTTCATTCTGACATGTCTGGAGAGATTATAACCCTACCTCTGCTCCTAGTTCATGACAGATAGAATACAGACTCTGCTTTAGGTCACTGTGGGACTTTGGACAAGTCATATAACTTCTCGAGGAATCCAAATGTTAATGTCAAGAAAAGAGGCCGTTTTTCACCAATACTCCTTGAAACATAAAACACTAATCTTTTCTTTCCACACACAATCAGAAGCACTTTCTGTTCTTTAAAACCCAAGTAGAAGTATCCAAGGTCCTCTGGAGATCATGCTTCTCTCAGCAGTGAGTTTCTCTACTGAGGCGGTCCCAAATCCTCCCAACCTAAGCCAGTTGGAGACGTAGGGTACCAGAGACCAGCTAAATTGCATGGAGAGCGCATTCTGCTGAGATTAGCTCTTTTTAATTTCTCTTGAGCAAACTAGCGTTTGGGCATGGTACACAGCCCATCTGTTTGGTTTGGTGTTTGCCTGACAGCGTGGGAGGAGCAAGCAAGTAAGCACAGTCTTAGACATCAGATGTTGAAAATGTTGTGCTTTCTTCTCCATATGCGGGCCTGGAATCACTGTGATGGGCCCACGTAAAACAAATTTAAGACCTAAGAAGGTGAACTGTAGATGTTTCAGTTACCTGCTACTCTCACAAACAGATTTAGGAAGGGCTCAGCCTCTAGTCAGATTCCTTTACCTGGATGCCTGAAGAAGAGGGGCGTGTGTGTGTGTGTGTGTGCGCAAATGCAGGCAATTGCATGCATGTGTGGTGGGGGGGCTGCACATCACATACAAAAATCTTGAAGAGTTAGCCCCTCATGCTGGCAACATTTTGCTTGGGAACTTAGATATCATTTTCTTTATTTATTGTTTTTTTTTTTTTTGATCTGAGATATTATATTATTACTCTGGGAAGGATCTACCTGTGGTACTTGATTTACTGGAAACAGGTCATTGTGGTCATTGTAGGGACTACTGTAGATGAACTCCTCTACAATGAAATTGTAATGACTGGAAATAAGAGATCTGTACTCATGGATATGTTGAAACTCAAGGAGCAATGTGAGTGCGCTAATTCACACCATATCTGAATTTGCACCCTCGCTCAGAGAAGCCCCATCTCCATTTGATAGTATAATAGACTTAAAGATGTTCATGTTCTTCGATCCAGTAATCTCTCCCTACCATTTATGTGAATAACTTCAAATGTGCTTGCGTTTATGTGCAAAGATGTTCCTTTTAATGGTATTTATAAAAATTAAAAATTTAAGGTAGCCTAAATGTCAAATACCAGGGAACTTTTTCAATGAGCTGTGACATAGACATAACAACGGAATAACAAAAGGCCATTAAAATTATGCTGTTGAGGACTATTTAGTAATTCTGAAAAACTCTCATGATGGGATGTTAGGTGAAAAAAGCAGGAAAACTCTATTCTTAGTAATGCTTCCAGGAAACCTCGAAAAATCATGCATAGAAGGGAGATTGAAAGGGAGGACATTAACATTTTAAAAGTGATTTTTCTAGGAGCTATAAATACAGATTATTATCCTTTTCTTCTATAAGCTTTTGTAAATTTTTCAAATTTTCTATAATAAACACGCATTAGTTTTGTAATCATAAACTGGCCCCAGTAACTAAATAACCAAAATGAATGACGAGTGGGCTATGGAAGCCATTCTAACATAGGCTTTCTGACTTGGGGTACAGTTAGGATCCTTCCAAGGCTTCTGCCACAAAATAACCACACAGATTTAGCAATGTACTCAGGCAGTCTACACAGCCTAGGCTCGAGATGGCAATGAATTGGTGGCCTTGGGAGGAATGGTCTGAGCTCCAGGGAGTGATTGCAAGAGACATGATCCCTCTGACAGTTACCCGCTGCCCGGTGCTCCCGCCTACCAGTTTCAGGGTCACACTGGTGTTCACAGGGGTCCAGGAGCCTCCGGGCACAAAGGTCCATGGCCCAGGGCCCACTGGAGTTCTGCTGAGAGAAGAGAACCACTTGGGCAGGGTTCAGCCAGTCACTGGCGTCCAGCTGGCTCCCCTCCAGCAAGATGAAGCGACTCCCTGCAGAGGAGAGAGGAAGATGCCTATGTGTGCCCACAGCACACGTGTCTGAGGCACTGAAGACAGAGCCTGAGACAGTCCCAGTCTGAGGATCTGTCCCGATCCAAGATCATTATTCCCAACAGTCCCAGTTTGTCATCAGCCCCAGAGCAAGGGATCAGCGGGAGGCTAGGCCATCACCTGGACTGCTGTGAGGCCTGGGACATTAGGCCCCCAGCCACACTGTCCCCCATCCCATTTCTCCAGGGTGTTCCTAAGGGACACAAGAACAGAGCGGCTCTGTGATAGCCATGGCACAGCTCCATCAGACCCAGCCACAGGCACTGGCACTCGCCCAAGGAACGGGGCCTACTGCCTGTCCCCACGTGCTGCAAGAATAGCAGCCCCTCCCACGCCACAGGAGCAGCCCCCACCTGTTTCCAGCCTTCCAGCAACGACATTAACAAGTCAATTAGGTGCTCTGGGCTTAAATGATTCAGGGACTCTCAGAACCTATATAACTCCCTCATTATATTGGGGTCCCCGTGGATGAAAGTAAATTATTGCTTCTGAGTTCTAGGCTTACAGCAAGTTACTGCAATTAGGAATTTCTCACCTGGGCATACCAAACCGAAGCATGGCTAATCCTTAAACACCTCTACTACTCCATGTAGCTTTTCCCTTCTCAAAGGCTAGGAGAATCCTGGTGTCTGCCTACCTGTAGCCAGTACGCTCTGCATTTCTCTACAAAGATAGGCGCTTATTTAAAAACAAAGATGAGAATGGGCATAAAGAGGAGGTGATCTCTTTGGTTTGTTTTTTTTAACTGGCTTTTTGAGTTCAACTGAGGGCAATCCAATTTTGTCCTAAACTTTATTTAAATTTAGTTCCCCCCACCATCACTATAGTAATAGGTAACAGTGACCTCTGGCTTTCTAACCTCTGCCCAACCTGAAAACCTTCCTTTCTAGAGGAGAAGGTCGCATCCTCGGAAGAATGGGCTCACCATCGGCGATCAGGTGCTCAGGGACGTGCAGGGTGATCTTGACAACGAGAGGGCAGCTGACGTGGGAGGAGCACACCAGGCCGATCACACAGCTAGTGATGCTGATCAGGGTCAAGGTGGTCTTGTTCACAGGACTTCGGGGAGAACCCACTGAAAGTGAAACACAAGCAAGACACATGGGGGTGAAAATCTTGGCACCGGGAGTCCAGCTTGGTCTTTTGCTGCCCAACCTAGTAAAGAGGAGAAGCAGCTGGCAGATTTAGCCCATGGAAGGAAATGTCTCTGGCTGTATGACCTCAGTGACCTTCATCCTGAACACCATGCCATCAGTTGGAGGCAGAGAAATTTTGGCAGACTGGTGGCTTTCAGGGTCAATAATGAATGGTTTGTTGATCACCGTCACTCTTCCTGAGCCAGAGTCACAAGAGAAATCATAACAAGAGGCATCCTCTCCCTCTAGTCACCTAATAGAGCTCCAAGTGCTGGTCAAGGGTGGCTGGAATGCTTTAACCCCACGCTGCATTTCCCATCAATGTTCACAGAGGGCGCTCTCCATGGAGCACTCCGGCTCCGGTGGAGCAAACTATCCCTCCAGAAGAGGCTTCCTGAGCTGGGAGTGCTTCTGCTTACTGTGTAGGAGAGCCCTACCAAGTGACTCTTCCTCTCTGGGGCCTGGAGTAAGGAAAACAAGGAATGTCTGCTCTGTATGAGTGGACGATGTTGTCACAGGAGAAAGCACCCCTCAGTCATGCAATCACTGGGGGAAACAATCGTTGCTGGGGAGTGGGAAACACTCCCGGGAAGGCGGACACAGGGACAGGGAGGACAGGGTTTGTCTGTCTGTTTGGGGGTTTAGGGTGTTTTCTGGTTTGGCTATTCAGGATTTTTGTCTGATTTTTGTGTGTGTGAGGGAGAGGATGAAATGACAGTAAGCAGAAGGACCTTATGCTTATGGAGGCAGCACAGATGCTTAAGAAAACAAGGCAACAAAATGTGTGGGTCTTGTGTTCTATGTTAATATTTATTATGGATAATGCTAAAAGACATCCATTATGGCAGGCACTGGGATAAGTGTTTTACATATAGTACTTTATTTTTAATATTGCCTTCTTTACAATAAGCCCATGAGTCTGCATAGTGACCCCCCCACAAAAGAGATAAAGCTCATTGTGATAATTAATGCACCCAGAGTGGTGACTGCGTTTCAGGCACTGGTGCTCGGGGTATTACAGGGGTCAAGGCACATAGAACAATGACCCCAACCTTAGAAGGCAGATCCCCTGGAGGAAGGGAGGGCTCTACAGGCTGTGGGGCAGGTGTAGGCTGAAGCAGCCGCTAAGGGGTGGAGCTGGAACCAGAATGCAGGTGCAGCTGAGGCTGTGGCCCACAGGAACTGTGCACTATTTGGTCTTTGGGCCCGCTGGAGCCTTGGGAACTGCTGTTATCAGGAGAATAGGAATGAGCTTTTGGTTGATGGCTGCACCCCTCCTTTAAGGGAGCAGGGTCCTATGAGTGGGTATGTTGGCATTAGCTGGGAGAGAGAGACTGGAGGGCAGCAGGCAGCTCCTGGGTCCTCTGTCCTTGTTGCCTGGGAATAGTCTATTCACAATACCATCCTTCCCTAATGTATTCTATCTACCCACACAGGCCTCAGCAGTGAATTCACACCCAGAACATCCCTCTGGCATTCAAATGGGAGCATATCCTACAGTGGACTGGCCACCTTCTCTTCAACTCTGTTCCCTGCCTTCTCCCATGGCCCTGAGAATAGTACTGCCACCTATGTGGTTTCTCCAGTCGGAAAGCTCCATCATGGCTAACTCTTCCTTCTTGTTCACAGGCCACAACCCTCTACCCAACTCAGCACCAACCCCCTCATTGATGCCATTAAATTTTTCACTTTGTATCCAGTTTCTCTGGCCTCCATTTTCTCCATCTGTCCCTAACCCCTGTCATCTCACACCAAGACAGCAGCAGCAGCTGTCCACCTGTCTCCCTGCTTCCGGCTCGCCCACTCTCACCTGTCCTGTGCACTGCCCCAGTGAGACCCACAGTGGACAAGGGCAATGTTTTAAAAGCTTTAGTGACTCTAACTGAAGCGTGAGGTCCAAGTCCCTGGAAGTCAAGGCCAGGGACCTTGTGGCTTCTGCTGATCTCCCAGCCTTATTTCCTATGCAACCCCTCAGGCTTGTACCCGAAACTTCATTCTAGTAAACCTTTTACTGCTCCCTGGTGAGACCATCATCATTTATGTCTCGGTGACTTTGCACATATTATTTCCTCCTCCACAGAAGGCCATTTTGTCACCTTGTCAGCCTGGTATACACCTACTCTTCAGATCTCAGCTCAAACAACATCTCCCTGTAAACACTGCCCTGAAACCTTCAAGAACAGATTCTCTCTCACTCTTTGGTGTTCTTTTAGCCCTTGGTGCACCCTGCTGTTACAGCTCTTATCACAGTGTCATCACTGTTTACGGGCAATTGCCGCTTCTCTCATGTGATCACAATAACTTGCTACTGATATTCCTGCCTCTGTGGTCTTTCTGCATCATCAACCCGTAACCCGGCATCTCCGTCTAGCTTCAAAACCTCCAGGGGTTCCCTATGACCCACAGAAACAAGGGCAAACTCAGACACATGGCATGTGTGTGCCCCCTGGTTAGTTGGCCCATTCTCCTGCCACATCCCTACCATCTCTGGGTACTTACGTACAGTAGAACCTCTGTAAGATGACCACCCAAGGGATGGTAACAAACTGGTCAACATCCAGAGGTGGTCAACATAAGGAGTGAGGCCTACGATCTTGATATATGGTGTATGTCTGGAGGTGGTCAATGTGGGGAGGTGTCAACTATGGAGATTCTACTGTCTTTACACTGTGGATGACAGCTGCCATATTCACCTACTTTGCTTCCTTAAAAACACCATGTTCTTTTGAAGGCTGTTGTGCCTTCAAAGCTTTTTATGCGCTGTTTCCCTTAGACGTCTCCTGTTTCAAAAAATCCTACACTTTGTATATAACCCAGTTCTAATGATTTTCATCTTTTTTGCCTCCTATTTGCTGTCAGGTAGAATCATCCATTCTCTCTTCTGAGTATTCGCTTTATTTATGTTATTAAATTAAGCCTTATCACTGTGCCATGTTTCCATGTTTCTACCATTTATCACAAAGCCTTATCCATAGTGGGGGGGTTATGAAATGTTTTTGCTGGTCTGATGGATGTATCCAGTCCAATCCAACAAACATTCCCAAGAGTCTACTATAGGCAAAATCCTTCTCTAGGCACTCTGGGAAAATAAATTAGGCATGCCCCACCCCTAAGAAGCTAACAGTCTAGATAACAGCAATAAACAGCTAATGCATTAAGAAAGCTAGATTTAAAAGAAAGTTTTACGCTATAAAGAAACTCATTCTAATTCCTTACCATCGATTTTCTTAAATGAGATTTTATTATATCCTGCTTTGATAAGGTCTAGGTGGGCTGGGCCCAGGTTTAGTACCTGCTGTCTATAAAAAGGCAATGAGTATCAAATGAGATGGGGGAGACCCTAATCCATAGTCATACTTCAGGAAAGTTGGGGCATCAGACCTCAGAATACCCAAAGCCCTTTTGATTTCCTAAGAAAAAATGGTGGAAAGAACTTTTATTATACTGATAGCAGTGGAGCCTATAGAAACTAGAATTTACAACTGTTAATAAAAGGGATTCTGAATGCATTGGGATGATGATGGGGATAGGAGGGAGCCAAAAGGTGTGTCTTTTGTGGGGGGAGTGGTTGACTCTTGCCTGAAGGAAATGCTTTTGAATATAGCATGACATGATGTCACTCAGATATCCTCCTTTATATAGGAATCTTAAGGGGACTATGTCCAAAATTCTTGCAAATAGGACACTATAAAAACCGGAGGCTGAACCATGAGAATTTTTTTTTTTAAGACAGAGGCTTACTCTGTCATCCTGGATAGAGTGTCTTGACATCATAGCTTGCAGCAACCTCAAACTCTTGGGTTCAAGTAGTACCCTTACCTCAGCCTCCCAAGTATCTAGGACTCACCTGCCACAATACCCAGCTATTTTTTCTGTTTTTAGTAGAGATGGGGTCCTGTTCTTGGCTGGTCTCAAACTCCTGAGCTCAAGCAATCCACCCACTGTGCCTGACTACCACCATGAATTCTAACAAGGTAGAAATTTCACCATGCTTTAGCAGTCACCAAAAAAGGGCACATTTTAATATAATTTAATCCTGATAGTAGACCTCTGCATGAGGTATTGTTAACTCACTTAATATGGGAGAAAAAGAGGCTCAGAGAATTTGTTGTCAGTTCTGATATCCCACAGCCCGTGACTGGCAAAGCTAATTGGTGCATGAACCAGAACTCCCTCTGTGATGATGGTGGTACCAATAATGTGGTGGGTGGTGGCAGCCACAGCTGCCATAATCACACCCAAAGCCACTAGTCAGGAGAGTAGAGTGGCCCAGACAATGGCTGTGTAGAAAGACAGCACTGCCAATGCCAAGGATGGATTAGCTACCTGAACCCTGCCAGGGGAAGGAGAGAACTTGAAGGCTCAAGGTCCTGTGAGTCTACCAAGCAGGGGCATAGAGGTCAAAGACATTCTCAGGCCATATATCATCCCTCAGCTACCTGCCCCCACCCTTGCCTATCTCAATCTCAAGGCCCACGTGGCTGAAGAGGCAAAGGGGTACATATACTATCCACTTTTTTCACATATGACACACTTTATCAACTTTATTTCCATTGCCTAAACAACAAAATATGACTCCTGAGGCTTTCAGAAGGAATTGAGAGTCTTCTGACCAAGAAATAGCCTTTCAAACAACTTGGAAACTTGTTTGAGAGTGCCATTATCTGGGAGAGATGATTCTCTGAAAATTTCCACTCTAGGCTCTTCTTTCTTCCTTAGGAGGAAACACCAGGTGTGATCCAAAATTTCTCCCTGCAGAAACTGGCTTTGGTCCACAGAGCCCTCAACCCCATTCGCAACCCCTGTAGCTTCCTGATACCCTCCCATCCTGGGACCCCTATCACCCACCCTTACTCCCTCCATCCTTCCTACCTCTACTGCGCCTCCGGCTCCTTGAGGGATCTGTGTAAAAGGTCAGCTGGGGGTCGTTCTCTGCCTCTGTGCCAGAATCCCCTTCAGGGTTCAAGAAGGCGGAACCAGCTGTAATGGAAAGGGGCGTGGCCAAGACAGCATTTTCAGTTGTTTCTTCATGACACCAAATCATTGGGCAAGTTCAAAAGGAAAATTGATAAAATCGAGAGCAAGCTGACTGATAATCTGGAAGAAGTAGCAGAGGGGTTGGGAGCTCCTGACACACCTCTTGTCCACTGAGGCCAACTCCATCTGACTGGGGCTGTCCTCTACCTACCCAAAGGGACCCCGAGGGATGGTGGATGGAAAAGGAAGAAAGGGAACTGTCTCTCCTTACAGTCTTTGATTCTGTTAATATGAGGCTGGAATTATGTTTTAAGAGTTATAGGATATATCACATTTTTATGAATTTTTTTTGGTTCTAGAATATATATATATATAAAATGCAAAAAGACAGAAGGGAATAAAGAAAATACACAGAAATGCGTGACAGGAACAACCCTGATGTCCTTTAAATCCTCCAAATCTGAGAAAAGCTCTGCTAATATTTGATATGTGTACTCTCTGCCTTTTTCTGATACAGAAACAGGTAAAGGTTATTTTAATCTCTCTTTAAAAATGACTTTATGCTGTACCTTCCATTTTATAATGTAATCTTTTTCCATTTAATAGATGGGTGAGCAACTTTCCATATTAACAAATACAGATCTATATTATCATTTGGAATGGCTGCATGTGAGCCGCTGGACAGTAGACAGATGTGCCAGGTAGTTAACCAATTCCCCATTGATGGGCATTTAAGCTATTTCCAATTTTTCACTTCTTTAAACAATGTTGTGATGAACAGCCTTTTACACACGTCTTTGTGCAGTTGTTCAATTATTTCCTAAGGATAAATTCTTGTTGGTGGAATCACTCCGTCAAAAGGTTTGTACATTTAAATTTTTTGGTAAGTAGCCTTTAACTGGCCTCCAGAACAACTGCGCCACGGGCATACTCCCTCTAGCCATGCATAGGTAAAGGGGATTAATGGCCCTGCCTCTGCTCATAGTAACAAATCCACCTGCAAGCCTACATCAGACATGCGTACCTCTTGCCTTGTTGTTGATCCGCTTTCTCTGGCTACTGGAGGTGTGAGAGAGCAGGGTGGCCTGCTGGTGGTTAGAGTCCACGGGGCTGGTGGCAATAATGTTATCTTTATACTTGTTCATCAGTGACAGCTTGGCATTGTCACTGCCTGTATAAAGCAAAATTGAGGAAAAAACTTTAAGAAAGCAAGAGAAAGTGAGATCAAGGAAACTGGCATAAACATAGCAGATGAGGCCACACAAAATTGAAATAAGGAGCCTACAAAGTGAGAGATTGATTGGTAGAAAGAAACTGAAATATTCCTCTTTGATTGCCAGGGGACTGCAATGTTATGGGAGAAGCAGTGAAGTCAGGGGACTGCAATTGAAAATCCAGTTCAATTATTCTGTATTGACAAGATCACCACTTGTAACCCTTTAGCTAAATACACTGCAGATGTCTTTCTTTTGGTCAGCACAGAGTTTTAAAAGAAGTGGGATCGGAGTGCTTTTAAGCAGCACACGACCTCTCTCTTTCATCACACTCTGCACCACTCCTTATTGCCTGACCCCAGCTTCCCATCTGTCTGTCTGCTCTCTGAGGGCATTTGGAGTTTGTGGCCTCTGAGCCCCATATATTTACTTGGTGGGTTTAGCACTATGCTAGGTGCTATGGAATATAAAAGATGTTGAAGACAGGCCCCTCTATTCTCAAGGAGTTTCCAGAGTTCAAATCTTATTAGGAATTGGCTATTATAGAATTTCATCTAGGTAACAAGCAGAATGGAAACCTCTGTGTAATTCCACTTTTTAAGCCACTCTCTAAGTCCATGTACCTTAAGCAACATTTGGTATCATATATGTCTTCCTTAGAGATAATGGGCATTTCTGTGAAGGATCATACTGAGGGTTCATCTTTGGGAATTTGCTTATTCATAGATGTTTAGAGAGACAGGGGGGCGACTATAAAAGACGAGTCCTTCTCTTTATCTGCATTTTTTAAACTTTCATCTTGTTCAGCCAGATTGGGACCAAGACTTTTCCAGCCAGTGTCCCCATAGATACCCAGTCCATCTGAGGTCTGATATCTTGACTGCATTACTTCACAATTTTTTGTTTGTTTGTTTGTTTGAGACAGACTCTCACTTTGACACTCGGGATAGAGTTCCATGGCATCATAGCTCACAGCAACCTCAAACTCTTGGGTTCAAGTGATCCTCTTGCCTCAGTCACTCAAGTAACCGGGACTACAGGCACCTGCCACAATGCTCGGCTATTTTTTTTTTTTTTTAGAGATAGAGTCTCACTCTTCCTCAGGTGGGTCTGGAACTCCTGAGCGCAGATGATCCACCACCTTGGGCACCTGGAGTGTGAGCATTATAGGCATGATCCACTGCACCTGGCCTCCTTCCCAAATTTTTAAAATATCCTGGGCCCAACTCTCAGAAGTCATTGAAAAACACAGATACCACCTTCCACTTCATAAGATAATTAAATTGGCAAAGCAAATACATGATGTACAGGTAAGTGATACACATGTGTTAATTTTTCTTGCTATTTGCTTATTTCCCAGAGGGTTGTTCATTACATACTAAAAAGGCTCCTTTGTTGAATATATATATTTCCGTGCCCAATATGGGGTGACAGTAAAAAGGGGTCCATATTACCTGTTCTTCTGATTTCATAGATTGGAAAACAGCTCCCATTCTCTTAGGAAATCAGTTATTCCTACCCACCAATAGGGCACCAGTGTATCCCAATAGCTGTTTCTACCCACTGCCCGGCTCCCTGAGACAGAGGAGCAAAGAACCACCCCTGAGCCCTCACCCTTCTCCCGTCCCACCTGGTGTGAGGTCCATCCCGGCCTTCTCATTGCAGCCCTGCAGAGAGTCAAGGGTGCGGGTAACCTGGCTGGCAAAGTCCTCCCCTCCGTTCATGCACTCCCTCTGCAGGTGGTGGCGCAGGTCAGTGATGTCATACTCATAGCCATCCAGGATGGGTGTCTCCCGGATGCTCAGGGTGCCGCTGGAGTTGTGGCCCTGCACGCGGGCATTGCGAAGACTCTCGCGCCCGTGCCCGCCGATCAGCACTGAAGGGATGTAGTGAATCTCGTTGGCTGCCTCGGCGCTGGCACTTTTCTGGGGCTGGGGGACCCGGCGGCGTTTGCACCAGCGCCGGCGAGTGTACAGGATCATCACCAGGCACAAGATGGATAGCAGCAGAGCGATCATGCCACCCTGGGAAGAGAGGGCCACGGATGGCTGTGGGCAGTTCTTCCCGGGGTCACTGCCCCTTCTGCCACCACCATTCATCACTCACTCATTCATTCAGGTGAATTAAGCATGTATCACAAGCATCATTCAGCAGTAAAAGGACAGATTGCTGTGATCAGTGTTTAAAGTGAGAGAAAGAGGGAATGGGGATGACCAGTAGATCATTTCAAGTGATCCAAATGCTTCTGGCTTCACAAACAATTTGAAGAAAGAAGTCTTTGTGATTGATTGTGTACGTGTGTGTTTGAGAGACACACAAAGAGAGGGAGTGAGGTATCAGCTGCAGCTCTAGGGGAGAGAGTTTGTTAAGGGAAACCTGCTACCCATAAAACTGATTTCAGGCCATTTTTTTTTTAAAGTGCAGGGTGGCATGTGGTTTGTTCCTGTCTCATGTCTAAAAATCAATCACAGGTAGATTCTAGCCCTAGCTCCACCAATTACCAGTAGTCCTATAAATTTTAAAGCTCAGATTCCTCTTCTGTATATTGGAGAAGACACCACTTAACCCCCCAGGGTGGTTATAAGAATTAGTTTAGCTAACTATGGGAAGTGCCTAGTATAATTCATCACATATAATCAAGGCTATTCTCAGCATAACCTTAAACACGTCCATGGGAGTAACTGGCTCAGCAGGGAAAACCATCAACAAATCCAAAGAGAAATTTACATCTATGAGGAATTTACCACCTAGCATGGGCAGGAATCTCACCATTTGAACATGACATTTTGGGCCACAGCTTTCCCCTGATCACACCCTCCGAAGTGAGGCTCTCTGTTCTTGCTGACCCTCAGGGGAAGGGAGGGATTGAGACCAAATCCTTGAGGCAGGCTGGCAGAGGGGTTAGCTTCTGAACCTTCTGTGGCTCAGCAGTTACTCCTTACAAATCAGGACACCACTCAGGTGTCTGTCAGAGGTGAGGACGTAGTGAGTGCTCAGGGAGATTGAACACCTTGCCTTGACACCCACTGGGACTTGCAAGCTCCACACTGCTCAGCGCTGGGAGCACATAAATCTCCCTGCACACAATCTATACACACTCCCTTTATTTGGTCAATATCCCTCCAAACCTAGTTCATTTTAGACTGGGGTGTGCCAAATGGCTCTGCCCTCAATCTTGGGCTTCAATCATGACATCCTATCATACAGGCTAGATATGAACACCCCCTACTAATTCCCAGGGGTCCACCCACACAAGGGTAGGTCAAGAGATTCCCCCAAACACATGAAAGGGGGATTTTAACAGTCTCGTAATAATTATGGTTTAGATTTATACAGTTTCTCTCCCCATAAATCTCATCATATATCCTCCCTCTCCTACCATCACCCTGAGCAAAGGAACACACACACACTGCCACTTTCAAACAGGCAGAATAAAGGAACAGGGACATGAAACAGAACTAGCTACCAAGTCACAGGCTACACTATGTGGCTTGGTAGGGACAGATGTACACTAACCTGGTTTTCAAGTTTTTCTTATATCTACAGAACCCTCTCTCGCGTGCTATCTCTCATGCATGTACAGAGAAAGGGTAAATGTGCTCAGATTACATTGTGGAGGGGAGTCCAACGCCAAGTATTCTAGGCCCTCAATAACCGTCCCTTCCCCTGCCGTCCACCCTGCCAGCCCTGCAAATACACACACATCCCCTAGGACCCTGCAGAGTACTGCCCAGAAGACACAACACCTCAGCAGTGCACAACCGAGCCCTGCACCACTTTACTAAGGGGCAGGTTTTTGTGTCCAACCCAGTAGTTTCTTAACAGAACCTGTATCTCAGGCTCAGAGCCACTATCCTTTTCTTCACCCCAAATTGAAACTACAAGAATAGGTAATTAAGCCACACAGAAGGAATAACTTCCCGGCCGGCCGAGAGAAGCTGTCAGACATTGAATTAGGCTAGTGAAAATGAGAGGTAATTTTATTCCCTGAAGAGCTGTGAGGGCAGCATAAACATCCATCTCTGAGGAATGGTTTAACACCATCTTTCCTGCTTATGTAGGGGTTTCTAGGGGCCCCTTCTACCATTTCCTTTCTAATTTCTCCTGCTGGATAATCACAGGATTATGGTAAGATCCAGGTCACAGGTTCATTCTCCATATTATTTAGCAATAGAACAAAATTAGCTGTTCCTTATCAGGCTTTTATAGTGTATCAGATGTTTGTTCAAAACATTCTGCACTTTTAACTCCAGAAGAGGTAGGGGGTCATTTGTTTCCCCATTTTACATCTGAAAAGGCTGAGGGATAGGGGTTAAATTCCTTGCCCAAGGTCACACAGCAAATAAGTGGATGGGACTAGAAGGGGACAGCAATGACTGTCATGTCAGAGCCCAGGTTCTTCACTCCTAGTCTGTAGTCACCCTGAGTGAGCTCTGCTCACTGTAGACAACCACACCCTCAGTCTACCTCACAAACCAAAAGAGGACAGAGTAAGAGAGTGTGGACCCCCCGAGGTCTGTGCTCATGTCTCAAGAAAAAACTGTCACTATGCAAAGTGCACATCTTGCTAACAATGGGTCGAAAGAGGAACTATCATAAAAGCAAGACCTTTCACCAAGCACCTACTAAGCACTCAAACCCAAGATAAGTTGGCAGTAAAAAGACAACACCCACGTTTCAAGTTCTGTGTCAAAGTGAGACTGTGTATATCACACATTACTACATGCCTGAAAGGCACCATGAGGTCCTCTATTTAACTAAAACACCAGCAGAGAAATTTGTGCTCTCTTTCATCTTAGAGACCCACTGACTATTTCTAGGCTCAGCCTCTTCCTTTTCTGATGATGAAACTAAGGCTCAGAGAGAAGCTACAAATCTAGGCAGTGCAGACAGCAGGCAGCTCTAGCCCCACATCCTCCACTCTTCTTCTCATGGGGCCACCTTGCTAAGTTTGTCTAAAATTCCCTTTACTGAGTGTTGGAACCTAGATACTCAACTCGACTGTTTCACGTTTATTTCTTAAAAAGTCATAATTTACAGGGAGCTAAAACACAAGTTTTTGTTTAACTAAATCAGTGTATTTAGTTTCTCTAATGCTGCTTTAGTAAAACATTTCCACTGCTTCTATCAGTGACTCTCAGCAACCTCAGGTTTCCTAATAATCAGTTAGCAGCAATAAACATCAGCCAGCAGGTAAAATCCAACATAGGCACATGGAAAAAGATTCTGGGGTATTCACATTGGGGTATGGTTTTTCTGTTTCTCTGACCCAAATTGGTGACAGGTGTCACAACACTTTGCAATGACTTACTAATTGTGGGATTATTATGTAAATAGACACTGTTGTGCAATATTAATACATAGTATGACTCAATATTTTATAATAATAAGCATATAAAACCATGCTATACGAATTCTTCTGAGATGCTTACCTGTTTATTTAGTGAGCAGGTAATAGGTAGAAGAAATACATAGGCCCTCCTCTAGACTAGGAAAAGGCATGGGTCTATCCACCTTGGGAACTTCCCTTCTACAAGATGGACTTAAACAACCAGTGCTCACGTTCATGATGGTAATAAGCCACAATTCTTTAACATTTTGATTATTTTGAACCTTTCTGCTTCTATAGAGGATTTTAGGTAGCTTCAGTGAAAGCAGATTTTATAGGACTTTTCTTTTAAATAATTTAGTTAAATAAAGAGGTAGCAGATATAATGAGCAGAAAACCTAGGCTAAGGGTTGCAGCTAGGAGCTTCCCAATAGCCAAGTAGAAAAGAGAAAGGCAAGGTCCACACATCTTATCTGACAAGAGAAAGTTTATGGGGAGGAACGAACTTCCTCCAGGCATTCAACTCCTAATAGACGTCCACCTAGTGTGGACCCATGAGCACACGGACATGATGGGAAGTCATCACGCAAGGCTTTACAGAGCCTGCCTGCCTTGATGTGAGTTTTAGTATTACCCTAGCTATGTTCCAAAAGTATTCTTTTGGTGTTAGCTTCTATTTTTCTGGCATTAAAATACAAGAACAAAACACATGTGGACTCAGGCAACAAGTAACAAGACACAAACTTGAAACATTAAAAAAATAAAAAACACTTGTACCCTTGTAAGATGAAGCATAGGTGTGAATCTTTCTAAATGTAGAATATAAATGTCTTAACACAATAACTAAGAAAATGCCATGAAGGCTATGTTAACCAGTTTGCTGAAAATATTTCAAATTGTATATAAAACCAGCACACTGTACCCCATGACTGCATTAATGTACACAGCTATGATGTAATAAAAAAAAAATCTAGTGCAAAAAAAGAAAAAAACACTGCAAGCATTGGCTGTAAAACATGGAATTGTTTTGCTCTTTATTCATCTTTGCATGAGCTTTCTGATTATTCTATTGATTTTCCTCAAAACTGTTAACATTTTGTAACTAGAAGTGCTTTTGTGGTATATGAGAACTCCGTATCTATTAACGAGCTCCTTGCAAAACAAGTGGCATTTTAAAATATCTTTTTCTTTAAAAAAATCAATAAATCATTTCTACTGGCTTTAATAGAGATCAAACAAATGAAATCAGCTTTTATTTTATTATGAAATTGACATTTTCAGCACTTACCTGAGAGAGTAGTAGGAAATTTGTCAGATCATTTGTAGATTTTAGAATTTTTATGTAACGATGTTTTATGTAACATTCATGATAATTGCCCCGGGATGAAAAATTCTAGGCAACTCTCTTTTATGCTCTTTCTAGTCCTCCAGGCCACTATAAGACTGTCTCATTATCTGACCTGTGTATTTTTGCATCCTGGGTGCTGGATCACACTTCCCTCCCTTAGCTGACTCCTACTTATCCCTCAGAGAGTTCAGTGACACAAGTTCAGCCCTTATTCTCTTGTCTCACTGCCCTGCCCACAGAACTGCCCCCCCCCATATCTAACCACACATATTCTCACCTTCGATCTGCTTGTTGAGCTCACCTCCTAGACTGTAGACTTTATGAGAGCAGGGGCCATATCTGACTTA